GGAAAGTAAGGTCAAGGTCAAAGGAAAGGTCAAGGTAAAAAATGTTGATGCAGTTGATAATTTCTCATCAATTTTGTATCAACATACAAAGTTTGATAAACACATCTTGAATGGTTTCTTGAAAACTGTCTAAAACACATTTTAATAAAAGTGAAGTCAATGTCAAATGAAAGGTCAAGGTCAAAAAATATTGCAGTTGCATAGCTCTCATCAGTATGTTTCAACATGTGAAGTTTGATAGCACTATTTTGAAAGGTATGTTAAAACTGAGCTAAACACTTTTTATGGAAAAAGAGGTCAAGATCAAAGGAAGAGTCAAGATCAAAGCACGTAAATGCAGTTGCATAGCTCTCATCAATATCTATGCGTCTATAAAGTTTGATGAAAATATCTTGGACAGTTTCTTTCAAAATGAGCTTTTAACTGAGCTAAAGGCAAATTGTGACGAAAGGGCAAACGGAAGGACAAAAGGACGGAAAGACGGAAGTACGGAAGACAGACATGACAAACTTTTACCTTAAATTTTACCTTAAATAACAGTAGTAACCTTAACTTTTCATATAGTGTCTATTGCCTTTAAATAATAAATAAGACCAATATTAAGATATACAATAGAAAACAAACAGTAAACCAATGGAAAAAGAAAAGAATGTAGTATAATTAAAGAAGCAGAAGACAAATATACAGAACACCAAGTTCAAATGGTAACAAACAATTAAATAGTCACATAAAGGACTTGCTGAAATTCATTCATCTCACTTCTGCTGTAGATAAACATGATTTATTTTGCCTGAATGTTTTGTTGAAAAACGTCCACAAAATGAGCTAATCATTTGACGCTAAAATAACTTTTTGAAAATATTTCAGTGACTGTTAACCAACCATTATTTGCCTCATCTTTTATTCGCGATTCGACTGTTAAAAATCAATCAACGACTGAGGAAACATTACATGTATGTACGAATACAAGGGAACATAAATTGTTCGGTGCAATTTATATTTGCGAATAAAGGTAGGTCGCAAACCTTGTGGATATTTCTCACGAGCGAATAGAGTTTTGTTTTTAGAATCATTCTATTAATTAATTCGATTCATGGAGTGGATATACATGTGTATGTATGTTGCTCACCTGATATCTGTGTCCTCCACGTGCTGTAATCACCAACTGGAAGAAAAAATGGTACATGAATAACCAAGAAATAAATCAATATAACATTCAATAGTCTATCTTATAAGTCTAAAATCAACTCAACTACCTTAACGTTTGAAGTAGACATAGAATCTAGCTAAATAAAGAAAGGAAGCAAAATACCTATACGTTATATAATTCTTCTTGATATCTTGTACTGAGTTCATTTGGTTTTGTTTTAGTAAGAATAATGTTTATGCATACATTTATTTGTCATAAAAATATGATATGGGATGCGTAATAGTCCTAAGAATGAAATCAAAAACATTCGTGAATATCCTCAATATCGTCAATATTTTGCACAGTCTACAGCAAGATGCTGAACCTTACATGTAACCCTAGAGAGCGGTGATCATGATATGTAAAATTTTCCCTCTTTATCATTTGATTAACCAGAAAAACACACATTAAATTTTAGTTTATTTCAGTTAAACAGAAACACTTACATATCTTTCAACATTTTTAGAATACGTACTACCCGAAATTCCAGGGCGCTTAAAATATGTGAAATGAAATCTTGAAAAATAAAAAAAATCAGACCTGAAGATGTTAAGCATTTACGTTATGTATTTATGCCTTTCTAAGGCAGCAAGGTCACCTGCATATATGGTTTTTATTGATTCAATATGCCAGCGGATGTTCTACGTAAAACTACGTAAGATACTACGTATGATTTAATTCTTAATTAAAACAAGCTATTGACAAATAAGATAAGAAAGTGTTTTGCATATTTTATTATTTGATTTCCTGCACATTCCTCATAAAATGTTGATTCCTAATTGATACCGCATGGAAATCCTTTTAATAAACTCTAACATACATTTTCCCATTTGTCGACCTCCACTGACCTATTGTGATTATACATGTAATTTGGGTACTGATTTGAATATACATTCACTTTATATAAAATTTACATAAAACTATAGATTTAAGCAGAACATTCCTATTCTCAAATCGATTAAACAACTTTCTTTATCATTATCATTGTAAAACTGTTTATCTTCTATTGTGGCTCTATTCTCTTTCAGTTGCAGAAGTTTATCATGCAGAAAATCATATTTCAAGAGGGAAATAACCACCTAACAATTGACACGGAAAACATATGTGAAACATACAGCAAGACAATGAGAACTATATGAGAAGGATATGGAGATAACGAACAGTATTCAACATTAAAGTCCATAAAACAATACAATGATAGGAGCAGAGCAAACTCTGACCTCCGAAACATCTGAGATAGGATCAGGTGCCATGGAAGAGTGAGCATCCCCTGTTGAGCGGTCACACCCGCAGTGTTCTCCTTGTCATGATCGAGAAATATCGGGACAATCCGTCGTCAATTCAGTATATAAATAATAAACTAACAATTAGTATAAAAAACATATGTCATAATTTGACTCAATGATGAATTGCATTTGTTGATAAGGTCATTGTGTCCACCTTAGAACTTTGAAAACTTCAAACGAGCTTGCTAGTATTCTTGTTTCATCACCTTGCTTGTCAATAATTTACCTCGTTCTAGAAATTGTTCATGTGTAGAGCATGCTCTTGCGTATCGAATCAATTGAGATATATTTACACCGCATGCAGGTGATGGAGATATATTACAGCATATGTAAGGGAAGTTATCATATACCTTTGTTGTTAGATTACCATTAATGTCTTTTTCAAGTAAACTATCTAAGTATAAAATAGATCTGTCAGTCCCTGTGGTAACTTTTATCTCAAGCTCACCAGCATAATTATATCATATCGATGTAGGAATGAAATTGTTAATTGACAATACGTCGTCGATATATCTAAATGTTGAGTTAAGGCACGAGAGGGGCAATCTTGCGAGAAGCCTCTTATTGAATGATTAAGTATATTTTGTTTGAGGTCCCTCTCGATACGTTTTCACTAAATGGAGACGCCACAACTTGCCGATGAAAATCTGCAATTTTTTTATTTTTTTCGGCACTTGGTACCATTGAGATGGGAAGGATATTTCTTGTACCAGTACCTACTGCAACACGGAATCTCGGTTTATACGGTCTCATCCGAAGAACTGCTCTACACATCCCCATAGAGGAATTAGAACCCCTAACGTAAGGATGTACTTCTTACTTAACGATTCTAGAGCAGACGGTCTAACCACTGCGCCTCGCTGGCAATTCGTCAAACGTTTCTTAATTATCACTCGGTTTACTTTTTTGAATGTCATTCATATTCTACAGTAAGTCTGTACAGGACCAGCTAGCTTAGCAATATACTGTTGTCAGAAATTTGGGTTTATTATACATATTACTAGTTAAACATATTTTTGACAGAAGCCTGTTGATAAATCTTTTCTGAAAAAATAGCATTATTTTAAACAAAAAATAAAGTTTTTGGACATTTTCAAAATGTTGTTTAACCTATGAACTGAACAGAAGACAGGGGACCTTCCACCATTATATTTATTACTGTTATATTCCTCTTTAAGGTTTCGTCAAAGGTCAACATGTTGAAAAATTTATTTTTACAAAAGTCCCAAAACTATATGAGGTATAAAGTTAAACCTTTTACATTTAATCAATTTTTAATTGATTAACAGATAGAACGTATCACTTGATAAAAAAATACTTGGAAAAAAAATAGTAATTGAGAAAAAGTCTTCTTAAAAAAGCATATATTTAAAAAAAAATACACCTATTTAATTCCATGCTCTTGTTGAAAACCATTATTGCAGAAACAAAATATGTTAATCAATGAAGGGCAAGTTGGACTTAGGTTGTCTATGGAAAGTTGTTTTTCCTGTTTATTTTGTCCAAATGTTAAGACTTGAAAGTGAAAGTTCCTTGCAAATGGCGGGTTCTACAGGGGTCTTGTCTTTATGCATGTCATGCTTTCAATAACAGCCTTTCAGAGACAATTTACGTCCAACTTGCCCTTCAATGATAAACATATATTATTTCTGCAATGATGGTTTACACAAAAAGGACAGAATAAAGCAGGTGTTTTTTTTTTTAAAATATGCACATTTTCTGATACACTTTTTTTCCAAAAATTTTTTTTTTATAAATATTTGTTATCAAGTGATACTTTCTGATACTTTCTGTCTATTAATCAATGATATATTTATACACTGTAAACGTTTTGACTTTATACCAGACATATTTTTGGATCTATTGCAATAATAATTTTTTAGACATGTTGACATTTGAGGAAACCTTAACATTTTATGCTCTTAAAAAATGAAAGAGCTATAACACAAGATGCACTTTAAGTAAAATTATTAATTTCACCATATTTTCGGTACATATATATGATGTTAAAAATTAACTTTTAAATAACAGGTTTTTAATTGCTGTGAAACACGCGTAATTGTTAGAAAAACGTTGTAGTATAAATATATAATCAAAGTTGTCGTAAGATAGGTATGCTTATTCTTTTTTCGAGAAACAAAAAACATTAAAATAATATGAAATTTATAAGAAAAAATGCTGACTTATAAATGATATAAACAACCGCAACATTAATATATATTTTTCCATTCCAAGGCAGTTCCATGTAAAATATAGTTAAAACAATGCTAAAGTATGTGGACGTATTGCATAAATACACTCGTATTTTAAATTTCAATGCAAGACTAAAATACATCTGTGTGTAATTTTTTTTATGAAGATATCAAGAAGACAGCTATATGTATCCGTAGACATGTCCCGACCATGATTTTACTCGGACAAGATGAGAGGAATCAATTTTGTCTATAAATGATACTATCATTTTTCTCTATTTGCTTAAAAAGCACTACATGTACATCTCTCAATTGAACAAAGAAAATCAAACTTCAACCATAAGTAACCAATGGTATCGGAACTACATTTGTGCATTCATTAGTTGTTGATTCTGTAAATACAACATCATGTACAATAAATGCACACACACACACACACACACACCCACACACCCTTACACCATTCCTTTTTACGAGTATCTTCAATGTTATAAAAAGTTTTTGAATCCAAAAACAATATAGAAATAAACAATGTGAAACAAGGATCTTGTATATCAGTGCTTTTCATTGATAAGCTGAATACAAATAATTAGACTTAAATAAAAAGAAAATATTTTTAAAGAAAACAAAAAATATAACGTTAGTTGATTTTGGAACCCTTTGGAAAGTGAATTTCAGTTCTCTTTCAGCATTGCAGAAACCATATGGAATCGTAATAAATAGTTTCCGGAAACTGAAATCTACTGACGCAAAAAATATTGTAACATTGAAGTTTGAAATTAATTAATTTTCATTTGGTTTATGGCTTGCATTGCAAAAATCATACAGGAATGGTTCATGAAGGTTTCCATACAGTTTTATTTTATGGGAACTGGACTTCTTATCCAGTATATTCAAGATAGCTAAAGCTAATATTAGACTGAAATAAAAGAGGTGCCAATGTACATGAACTCTTACTTTTCAGTATTCGAAGAAGCTCGAACTTCCTTTCTCTTCTAGATTTACTATCCCTTAGGATCCCATGCTCCCCCTCCTCTGATTCTCTACTGACACCAGCCTCTGTGACATCATTCTCCCTCTCCTGCACTTCACCTTTGACATCAGTCTCTGTGACATCATGATCCCACTTCTGCAGTTCACTATTGACATCAGTTTCTGTGACATCATTCTCCCTCTCCTGCACTTCACCATTGACATCAGTCTCTGTGACATCATTCTCCCTCTCCTGCACTTCACCTTTGACATCAGCCTCTGTGACATCATGATCCCTCTCCTGCACTTCACCATTGACATCAGTCTCTGTGACATCATTCCCCCTCTCCTGCAGTTTACAATTGACATCAGTCTCTGTGACATCTTTCCCCCTCTCCTGCAGTTCACCATTAACATCAGTCTCTGAAATACTATGGTCCTTTTCTTCTGAGTCACTATGAATATCACTTTCTGATATACTATACTCCGCTTCCACTGGTTCACAGTTGACACCAGCCGCTGTAATACCATATTTCTTATCATTTGGTTCATTAAGGACTCGAGTTTTAAGTATCACCAATGTCAACTTCATCTCCCATTGTTTCACTACTAACGCAAACCTCTGGGATATAATGTTTTATTTCTTCATTTTGACCACCTTCATCAATCTCCGTGATATCATTTTCGCTCTCGTTTTGTTTACTACTGGTGCCTGCTTCATCTCCCTTTGTAGCCCCTATGAGAAGATTATTTCAATCAAATCATTGTTTCTGTTGTTGGTTAATTTATTTTTATTGTTATCTTATCGATTTCAGATGCAGTGGGATATTTAGTCCACAGCTGCAGGTAAAACATGTTTTAACTGCAACTATGGACTACACATTCCACTAGATTTTTTTTTCTTTACTCTAACATTACATCAAATGAAAATTTATTTAAAAAAAAATAATAAAATATTCAAGATACCTTGGACAACTTTCTCCTCTGTTTGCGTCAATAAGTTTTCTTTTTCAGCTGAAATATGGAAATATTATCAATAATTGGCTGGATAATACTTCATTTTCAAGCGTTAATATATTGGTGTTCATTTAAAAATTTGCGAGACGTTTTTTATTTCTTTTGTTTTTTTAAGTTGAGACAATTTTCTGTATTTGAAAACAAACTATTAATCAGACTGATTAGTAAACTCTTGAATACATGTAAGGCATAATAGAACAACATACTCAAAAATTCCTTTCTTTCTTTACTTTTCAGTTTTTGCATTCTCTTCCATACAACCCTCAAAATTATTAACAGCAGTATAAGACCCAGTACAGCAACAACAATGCCCATAATTGCCCCGATATGTGCTGAGTCATCTTCTTGGAATTTGGTTGTATGAATATTCATTGCTGTTGTGTTGTATATTACATGATTTGTTGTGGACTTGGGGATAAATTTTTCCTCTGTTTCTTCAGTAGATATATCCCATGTCCTTTTTGGGGAAAAATAATTTTGTTAGAAACTCCTTAATACATGCAGAATGATTTTTATTTCAAACCAATAAATACACTATTACTTACGCGTTTGCACAATATGGATCAGCAAGAAAACAACGATGTTCTGTACTAATGTTTTGACAAGCAGGGTCTGATGTAAATCATAATAAATAAGAACTAAATTAAATCAAATATCAAAGTCATATTTTTCATAAGTCTAACGATGTCGGTATAATTTTTTTATAGAAAAAAAAATTGGTCCTTACATTTGTAGATTTCGTTACTGCGAAGTCTACATCCGGGCAGCCAGAAACAAAATTGGAACATTTGTGTGTAAAAATTTTACTCTCTGCAGTTTTCAAACAATTACCTGAAAAGTATTCATAGATAATAGATTTAAACATTTGAAGAATTTTAAACATAAGGATCAACTCTAATCGTTGTCAAACACTGGCTTAGATTTTGCTTGCTGAAAGAGCAAGTTAACAATATGCTTAAAAATTAAATGACTGTTGGTATAAAAAAAACAACATATACATGTATATTTAATGACGCCCTCATTAAATATGTAAGATTCAAACATCAATATGAATTATATATATATAGTACTTTCAGTTCTCATTTCAAAGTTCGATCTAATAGTCCAAAGATTGGAAAACACCATGTTAAAATGTAATGTCTTAAAATATGCAGATGTGATTTTGGGTACATTTGTTACAACGTACTTTGAAAAATTACGCACTTTGAAAATCATTTGGAAAGTGCGTTTAAGTCGGGACCAATTCAACGCACTTTGAAAAAATAAAATTTCTTTTCAAAGTGCGTTAATATCCACCATATTAACACACTTTGAGAAAAAAATGTGTCAATATATTTGCAAATCTTAAGTTTGATGAATAATTGAAACTGTTTGATAACTCGTCGGTGAAAAGGTCACCCCAGGTTGTGAAAGTAAGCGAATTTTAAATTTCCATACTTTAAATGTTTTCCTGTACTTATTTTTTTCATTATGCATGCATTTTATGTAAACTACAATTTACTGATTGTTTTCAAAGACATACCAGTTATGTAAACACATAAATTTGGGTGAAGAATAGGCATCGCTACCGGGAGGGGGAGGGAGGGCTTAGCCACACAAATGCTTTGCACAGATATGCATAATAATAGGCATTGAAAATTAGGCTTTACCTTAGGGCCCTTTGGGGTGTCCTATTTCAAATTGCTACCGACGTTTTGTATAATTTATAAGAAAAAACAATTTTGATGAGAGACCTTCTGCTTGTCTTCTACTTGTTTTCAATGAGGGTATGAGGTTATACTTCCCTTTCTAAGGAAGAAATTTCTTTAAAATGATATGTCAGTTTTAAATATTTTTATATTCCACAGAGCCAAAATGAATTTGAACTACCCTATATATATTGGATCGAAACTTCATAAAATCTTCACAAACAAAGATTCATTGCAGGTTCCGGTAAATGTTCAACCAAGCCTTTTTCGTTACTCCTCACTTAAATATTGTCAGTTGTGAGGGAAAAAACTTCAAGAGTACTTTGCAACAATATATTCAAGAAGTGGTTTGAATCAGATGTGAATACTCAAAAATTACAAAAAACTTTTGTACAATTTGAAATCACAAGATTTAACCAAAATCAACAGCTAAAAAAATTACGACTTTTCAACTTTGTACACAACCATTCCCCACAATATATTAAAGTCTAGGCTTTTCGATATCATTGACAGCTGCTTTTTTTTATTATTAAAAATGGAACTCGAAAATTTATTTATCTGGTCATTGGTCATTTGCAAAATTATTTTGTTAAAACACATTCTGATTGCAAACTCAAGTACTCTTGAGTTAACATCAAAGAGATGCTTGAGTTTCTGATTGACAATACCTATGTGGTTTTTGGAGACCAGGTATTCCCACAATCTATTGGAATTCCCATGGGTACCAACTCCGCTTCGTTATTAGCAGACATATTTTTATATTCACATGAAGCAGAATTTCTGCAAAATCTTATGCGTGAAAAGAAGAAAACACTTGTTGTGGCCTTCAACTCGACTTTTAGATATATCGACGACGTATTGTCAATAAACAATGGTAATTTCCATTCCTTCGTCAATATGATATATCCAAAGGAACTTGAGATAAAAGATACCACAGATTCTTACACACCTCTTTCATACTTGGATATTTTACTTGAAAAAGACGTTAATTGGCAATCTAACAATCAAGCTTATTGATAAATGTGATGACTTTAACTTTTCTATAGTCAACTTCCCTTACTTAATTATGCAGCGATATACCTTAATCCCCTGCATAAGGAGTATATATATCTCAGTTGATTCGACACACAAGAGTGTGTTGTACGTATGAACAATTTTTAAAACAAGGTAAATTATTGACATACAAGTTGATTAATCAAGAATATCAGCAGACTTGTTTAAAGTCATCATTTCGTATGTTTTACGGTCGATTCAATGACCTTGTCAACAAATACAATTTAACATTGAGTCAAATTCTGACTGGCGTTTTTAATACAGATTTTTTTCCGTTATTACCTGATCATGACAAGGAGCACACGGCGGGTGTGACCCGTCAGCAGCGGATGCTCACTCCTCAATGGCACCTGATCCCACCTCTGATGTCTCTAAGGTCCGTGTTTGCTCTGCTTCTATTTAGTATTGTTTTATGAACTTTGATATTGAATACTGTTCGTTATCTTCATATCTTTCTTGAAATATTCTTTCAAAGTTCGTATTTTTTTCAAAGTGCGTTCCCACATACGTTCAGCTACGAAATAAAATATTACCACGCTCTTTGATCAAAAATATAGAACTTTATAATCAATAGAATTATATATAGTATTCTATATAATTGAACTTTGTGGATCATGTGTTTTACTTTATAAAAAACACAGAAAAATAAAATTTACGGTCATTTCAAAAGACGTTTCAGGATTTGAAAATGATACCAATTTTTTCATAATTTTTTTTTTGTAAAAACAATTGTGAACAAGTGGCCCATGGGCCACATCGCTCACCTGACAAGCTTTGACCATTCTGTTCTTTACCAGATTTCCCCCTTTTAATACATATTGCGACCTCTCCCTACCCCACGGATCTTAATTTAGACATTTTGAAATCTACGCTACCCCAGGATGCTTCCATGTGCACATGAGTTTTAGCTTTTCTGGCCCTGTGGTTCTTGAGAAGAAGATTTTCAAAGATTTTTCCTATATATTTCGATGTAAAACTTTGATTCCCCATTGTGGCCCCGTCCTACCCCCGGGGGTCATGATTTGAACAATTTAGAATCTACACTACCCCAGGATGATTCCACTTAATTTTCAGCTTTTCTGGCCCAGTGGTTCTTGAGAAGATTTTCAAAGATTTTCCTGTATATTTTTATGTAAAACTTTCATTCCCCATTGTGGCCCCGCCCCTACCCCCGGGGGTCATGATTTGAACAATTTAGGATCTACATTATACCAGGATGCTTCCACATAAGTTTCAGCTTTTATGGCCCAGTGGTTCTTGAGGAGAAAATTTTCAAAGATTTTTTCCTATATATTTCAATGTAAAACATTTGAATCCCCATTGTGGCCCTGCCCTGACGCCAGGGGTCATGATTTCTACAATTTAGAATCTATACTATCCCAGGATGCTTCCACATAAGTTTCAGCTTTTCTGGCCCAGTGGTTCTTGAGAAGAAGAATTTCAATGTATAACTTTGATTCCCCATTCTGGTCCCGCCCTACCCCCGAGGGTCATGATTTGAACAATTTAGAATCTGCACTTCCCCAGGAGGCTTCCACATAACTTTCAGCTTTTCTGGCCCAGTGGTTTTTGAGAAGAAGATTTTTTAATGACCCCACCCTATTTTTTTTCTTGATTATCTCCCTTTGTGAGAAGACTTGGCCCTTCATTTTAACAGTTTAAATTTCCTTTCACCAAGGGATGGATGCTTTGTACCAAGTTTGGTCAAAATTGGCCATGTGGTTCTTGAGAAGAAGTCGAAAATCTGAAAATTTACAGACAGACAGACGGATAGCTATACAGACGGACGGACCGCTAGATGGACGGACGACGGACAAAATGTGATCAGAAAAGCTCACTTAAGCCTTCGGTTCAGGTGAGATAAAAATAGTACATTGACCAGTGAGGAAAGTATGACATTTTCAATACAAAGATGTTTACATAAAACCAAGCATTCTACGGAATATTTACTGAATTTCCACTTAGAATAAGAAGATCAAAATTTTCAAAAAGGCCTTTGAATATCGCTCCTCAAATTTCGAGGTAAAATATTCTTACATTAAACAAGAAAACCTTTTCATCCATTTAATTCCGCTACTTTTCTAATTCATTAATAAAAGACACGCTGTAAATTTTTATTCGGGGGAATTTAAGAGATAAATAAGGCATACATTTGTAAGACCGTAGATAATATTTTCTCTTGATGGTATTTGTGTAGCTAAATTAATAGGATTTCCTAAAATAACACTCACCACTTTCTATTAAGCCCATGAAACCATCGTGACAGATTCTACAGACTTGTTGTCTACTAAGTTAGGGAGACACATATACTGGTCATTTCCATACTTGTCACGACCACAGCCCCATCTGTGCAGAGGCTTCCACTGTCTCTGTCAGGTTTCTGGGACAATCTTCGACTGTCTTGTCCATAGCTGTTGTAATAGCTACAAACAAATTCATAAACATAAAATGTATAGATATGATTGCGCCCATGGGAAAAGGGCCCTTATGGCAATTTTTATGCATTT